GAGTCACCCAATCAAGGCTGGGACTCACCCAAGGTTGGGACTCACCCAATCAAGGCTGGGAAAGAATCATCCAATCAAAGTTGGAAAAGAATCACCCAATGAAGGTTGGAGAAGAGTCACCAACTCATGGTAGGAAAAGTCATCAAATCAAGGCTGGGAAAGAATCATCTAGTCAAGGTTGAGAAAGAATCATCCAGTCAAGGTTGGGAAAACCCTTCAGCATCAACTCCAACCTCCCCTGAGCTGAAGGTTCAGCCAGGAGCATTCTGGGCTCACACCAGGCAATGCTCCTTAATTAACCAATTAATTAAACTTCAAAGGTCATAAAAGAGACAAAAGAGTTAGCAATTTTTAAAAATGGATTTGCAGCTTCTTTCTGGAAACATCTGCCCCTCTTTAAATCAAAGAAATAGGGAATGAGACCCAGTCCAAGGGTTAAAGACAAGTGGCACAGCTGTGCCAAGGACAGTGTGACACAGCCCAAGGCTGTGCCAGAGACAGATGTCACAGCCCAAGGTTGTGCCAAGGGCAGGTGTCGTAGAACCCAAGGTTAGAGGACATGTCACAGCCCCAGGTTGTGCCAGGGACAGTGTGACACAGCCCAAGGGTTAGAGGACACATGTCACAGCCCAAAGTTGTGCCAGAGACATATGTCACAGCCCAAGGGTTAGAGGACACATGTCATGGTCCAATGTTGTGCCAGGGACACATGTCACACAGACCCAGGGGTTAGAGGACACATGTCACAGCTCAAGGTTGTGCCAGGGACAAGTATCATACAGACCCAAGAGTTAGAGGACACAGGTCACAGCCCAAGGTTGTGCCAGGGACACATGTCACAGCCCAAGGTTGTGCCAGGGATAAGTATCATACAGACCCAAGGGTTAGAGGACACATGTCACAGTCCAAGGTTGAGCCAGGGACAGTGTCACAGCCCAAGGGTTAGAGGACACATGTCACAGCTCAGTGCTGTGCCAGGGACAGTGTGACACATCCCCAGGCTGGTGAGGGGCAGCAGTGGCACTGGAGGGACCCTGGTGAGCTGGTGGGACCAGGGAATGTGGGGAACCACCATGTCCAGGCACAGAGCCTCCCCCAACCAGCACCAGGGCTGGTTTTGCTGCTGGAAAAATCACAGTTTTTTGGAACCACCGAAGGTTTATTCCTGTCATTCCCCTTTGTATTGGCAAATGCAACAGTCTAACTTGGGAAGTGTTTCATGAACTCGTGGAGAGAGATAGAAAAACACACGTAGGGAGGGTTGGGGTCACTCAGCAGGTTTGTCTGGACAGTCACCCCTTGAGACAGCGACAGGTTCAACATCAGCAACTCAAAAACTGATCAATCAGAGCAATACTACTAATTTCTCCTGGAGTGTTTTTTTTTTTTTTGCTAAGTGATGGTTTTCCCTCTCTGCTCCCAACCTGGGCCAGGTGGGAAGGGATAACCTCACACACACCTTCACCCACCCCATGGAAATGCCAACAGGATTGGGAAATTGTAAATAAACTCAGATTATTCCTTCTGCAAACACTTGGGATCTGCTCCAGGTTTGTATGTCACACCCCAACAGGTTGGGTTTGCTTTCACATCAGCCTGATGCCACCTAAAGATGGAATTTTAAGGGGAAAAAAAAAAATAAATCCCTCTGGGGCAGCTCCTAGGTGATGTGTGAGGAAACCTGATGGTTCCCAGTGGGAATAGGAAGGCAGGAGCTGCTGGAATCTCTGCCCTGGATCTCCCAGGGTTGGGGTGGAAAGCAGATTTTTACCTGCAGGAGATGGAGCATATCCTGCCACTCACAGCATCACCTGCTCCTTCCCTCTCCCCATGCTCCCTCTGCTGGGAATAAAACCTGGATTTCCCTCGGCTAGATGGTCCCTAATTTGGACAGTTGCATCCAGATGTGTGAAGTTTGGAAATTTAAGGCCATTTGCAATGTCTACTTACAAGTCTAAGAAACAAGAGCTCTTATATACACACAGAGTTATAAAACCACAGCTCCTGGCCGAATGTCCAGTGAGGAATCTCAGCTCCTCCTTGGATGCTTCGCTCTGAAGTGACTCTGGGGTTTAAAAAAATAGATCACAAACAAGAATTTACACATGCAGGAGAGTCATTCCAAGGGGAAAGCGACACAGAAATCCCACCATGGAGCTATGGGAACTGCAGGAAGCATTTTTGGACCTTCAGCAAAGGCTCTGAGTCACCTGTGCCCAAATTCCTCCTGGTTTTTCCAGTGTCCTGTCTGAGCTACCTTTTTAGCTCCTCCTTCCAGGATGAGCAATCTGGAACAAGCAGCCCCCAGGATGTTCTACTGGGCTTAAATCCCCAAAAAACCCAACCCAACAAACCCATATATTGTCAAGAGATGCAGGAAAAGCTCTGGAGGGTGTAGGGGGAGGGACAAAAATGACACAGGAAAGCCAAGAGGTCAAAGAAAAAAAAAATAATCCACATTTTTTTTTTTTTAGTGCAAATGGTCAAGGAATGGCACAAACGTGAGCAAACACAGCAGGATTAGGGAGATCCCAACCACCATCCTGCTCAGCAGTGTTGGCAGGAATCTCAGGATGGAGATCCACTGATTTTCTGGAAGCACACAGAAACCTAATATAACTCATTGAGAACTCCTGGAGAGCAGTTGGAACTCCTCAACTCATTGCACTGGAACTCCCTCTGCTCCTCTTTGCTCCTGGAAAACAAGGAAAACCTTCCCTGGGGGGAATGGGATGGGTGAAGTGCTGAGGGGTTGGGTTTGGCTTGTTAAAAAAAAACTGAGAAAGGGCTAAGTTTTTAGCCCCCAAAAAAGCAATTCCAGAAGGAGTGGGAAGAGCAGTTGTGGATCAACAGAACATAATTGGTTGGAAAGAGGAGCTGGAATGGGAATTGCACTGGGAATTGCAATGGGAACTGAAATGGATCTTCACTGGCACTACAGGTAACCAAATCCATGTGGCTGCTCAGCCCTTCCCACATGGAAGTGTTTCCCTTCTCCAGGTTCAGCTCATTCCTTCCTGCACTGGAAGATCGCTCAGCCCTTCCCACATGGAAGTGTTTCCCTTCTCCAGGTTCAGCTCATTCCTTCCTGCACTGGGAGATTCTTCCCTGCACTGGGAGAGCTCTTCCTGCACTGGAACATCCTTCCCTGTACTGGGAGATTTTTCCCTGTACTGGGAAATCCTTCCATATACCAGGAGATCCTTCTCTGTACTGGGAGACCTTTTCCTGCACTGGCCGATCCTTCCCTGTACTGGGAGATCCTTCCCTGTACTGGGAGAGCTTTCCCTGTACTGGGAGATCCTTCCCTGTACTGGGAGATTTCTTCTTACACTGGGAGACCTTTTCCTGCACTGGGAGATCCTTCCCTGTACTGGGAGAGCTTTCCCTGTACTGGGAGATCCTTCCCTGTACCAGGACATCCTTCTCTGTACTGGGAGATCCTTCCCTGTGCTGGGAGATTCTTTCCTGTACTGGGAAATCCTTCCCTGTACCAGGAGATCCTTCTCTGTACTGGGAAATCCTTCCCTGTACCGGGAGATCCTTCTCTGTACTGGGAGATCCTTCCCTGTGCTGGGTGATTCTTTCCTGTACTGGGAAATCCTTCCCTGTACTAGGAGATCCTTCTCTGTACTGGGAAATCCTTCCCTGTACCAGGAGATCCTTCTCTGTACTGGGAAATCCTTCCCTGTACCGGGAGATCCTTCTCTGTACTGGGAGATCCTTCCCTGTGCTGGGTGATTCTTTCCTGTACTGGGAAATCCTTCCCTGTACTAGGAGATCCTTCTCTGTACTGGGAAATCCTTCCCTGTACCAGGAGATCCTTCTCTGTACTGGGAAATCCTTCCCTGTACCGGGAGATCCTTCTCTGTACTGGGAGATCCTTCCCTGTGCTGGGTGATTCTTTCCTGTACTGGGAAATCCTTCCCTGTACTAGGAGATCCTTCTCTGTACTGGGAAATCCTTCCCTGTACCAGGAGATCCTTCTCTGTACTGGGAAATCCTTCCCTGTACCGGGAGATCCTTCTCTGTACTGGGAGATCCTTCCCTGTGCTGGGTGATTCTTTCCTGTACTGGGAAATCCTTCCCTGTACTAGGAGATCCTTCTCTGTACTGGGAAATCCTTCCCTGTACCAGGAGATCCTTCTCTGTACTGGGAAATCCTTCCCTGTACCGGGAGATCCTTCTCTGTACTGGGAGATCCTTCCCTGTGCTGGGAGATTCTTTCCTGTACTGGGAAATCCTTCCCTGTACCAGGAGATCCTTCTCTGTACTGGGAGATCCTTCCCCGTACTGGGAGATCCTTCCCTGCACTGGGAGATTTCTTCTTACACTGGGAGACCTTTTCCTGCACTAGGAGATCCTTCCCTGTATGGGGAGAATCTTCTCTGCACTGGGACATTTTTCCCTGCACTGGGAGATCCTTCCCTGTACTGGGAGATTTTTCCCTGCACTGGGAGAATTTTCCCTGCACTGGGAGATTTTTCCCTGTACTGGGAGATCCTTCCCTGTACTGGGACATCCCTCCTGTTCGGATCACAGTGGAATGAGGATGCTCCAGCAGTTCCCATCACCCTCAGAACTCCTCAAAACTCCTTCCAGCCAACCCTCAATCCCAGGAATCTTGGGAATCACCATCCATCCAGCAGTGCCACTGGAGTGAACCCACCACCTCCCAGTCCATGGGGGGTTTGGGTGGGATTTTCATGCTGCAGCACAGAATATTCCCAAGGACTAGCAGAACTCATCTCTTCCCAGTTTAACTGAAGCACAAATTCCTTAAGGAATCTCTCAGACTGGAGGATTCAGCCCTGGTCACTGTGGAGCAAGAGAGATTTTTAAAAATAGTTCCTACCACACTATTTTGCCTGTTCCAAAGGAAAACCTCTAGACTTGCCTTAGTTTTCCTCAGTTCTGCTCAACATCTGTTGAAAATTCCAGTTAGTTTCAAAAATCCCTATACATATATATAATATATATATACTCTATTTCTGGACTAAACTCCTCCAAAAAAGATGGAGCTGTCCAAGGGTTATGTGGAGTGTCTCAACTGGCTCTAGGTAGTTTCACTACTTGCCTAATATCCAAACATTTAAATACAAAAAACAACAACGACAACAAACAACTCATAAATAAGGAACAGAATAAGTAAGGACTAAGAATAAGACATTAAAAAAAAACCCAAAAAAATAAGGATGCTATGAGCTTGGCATTGCTATGGAAATGCCTTTCCTGTTGCCCAGGAATCTCTCACAAAAGGAAAATTCCAAGTATCAGGTTAAGTCTCCTCTGGTTTTTTAGCTGCTTTCCAATGTTCTCACCCTCTGTGCTGATCAAGTAATGAATTATAGAACTTTTGTGTGTGCTCAGAAATGTTCTCTCTGTGTGGGGACAGAGAGACAGACAGATGTACTACACAGACAGGGAAAAAACACAAAAAAGAACAAAACAAAAAGCTTGGAAAATAGTGTTTCCAGGGGATTTGTTTTGCCTTTTGGCCATGAGGATGCAGGGATGCTTCTCCCAGGCTGCTGGGGCAGGAGAGGATGGGCAGGGATGGGATGGACATGGGATATGGAGGGGACAGGGACAGGGAGGGAAGGGATGGATGTGGCACCTGGAGAGAAGGGACAGGGAGGGAAGGGATGGATGTGGCATCTGGAGGGAAGGGACAGGGACAGGGACAGGGAGGGAAGGGATGCATGTGGCACCTGGAGGGGGGGACAGGGAAAAAAGGGACAGACATAGGATCTGGAGGGAGGAGACAGGGAGGGAAGGGATGGATGTGGCACCTGGAGAGAAGGGACAGGGAGGGAAGGGATGGACATGGCACCTGAAGGGAGGGGACACACCTGGGGACAGACATGGCATCTGGAGGGAAGGGACAGGGAAAAAAGGGACAGACATAGGATCTGGAGGGAGGAGACAGGGAGGGAAGGGATGC